TTAAAGTCACTCTAGCCTTCTACGAAGGCCTTCACATCACCATCTCCATACACTCAACCCCAGCCAGTGTTATTAAAACCGGACCGGCCCGGCCGGTTGACCCGGAAACCGGTCCATCAACCGGTCCGGTTATAACATTGGACCGCTTAAGTAATCGACCCGGCATTGACCCAGTGACCCGGTCATAAACCGCGGTCCGACCGGTAAACCGGTACCGGTTTGCCCTTCAAACCGGTTTTTCAAAATTAGTTACAAAATCTTTTTTTGCAGCAAGTGAGATTCGAACACACTACCTTGGAGTAAAGAGAGTCGTTTCCTACCACTACGCCACCATCACTTGTTGAATAATTTATACCATTTAATATATTTATCATATAACTTTTAAGTTAAGAGAATTAACTCAAAAACTGCATGTAATGGGGTTCGAACCCCTTGCATTAAGGATAAACAACATAGCAAATACCACTAAACTACAGCAGGTTATTGTGTAGATGGCACCATTTAATATATTTATTATATAATTAAGTATAAAATATAAATTTATATATATATATATATATATATATATATATATATATATATATATATATCCGGTTCATGCGGTTCAACCAGTGACCCACCGGTTGAACCATTGACCCAGTGACCCGGTACCTAAACCGGGTCAATGACCGGTCCGGTTCTAATAACATTGACCCCAGCCAAACCTTTGGTTCTGATACCACTGTTAGAATATGGGAACGTTGTTATGTATTTTCATAAAGCAAATAACATAAGTCTATTATAGGCTATACAAAAAACTAAAGAGAAAATAAAAATACACATGACACTAACAGTCACATTACCCTAATAAAAAAACCCATTAGATCAGCAATAACAACTAATAAAGAGGCCCACTTAATTCTATCAATAAAGACTCATCAAAACACCTATTAAATTTCATAACTGACATGAAAAATATAGAGAGAAAAAAAACTCAACAATTACAATATGCAAAGTGGATAAAGAGGAATGGAAAAGACAAGACCTGGAACATTTTTTATCCTTGGAAGTGGAGTTTTTTAATTTGGAAATTAGCTTGTCCACTTTTTTACAAATATTTCATTATACAGCAGCTCTATCAAGTGTGGTATGTTATTAGTCTAAGCTTATATCAAAGTGCAAGTAAGTTACCTCTCCCACTAATTTAGCTATGCATTATCTAATTCTGTTTAACCAGGACTACTACTTAGCGGTTTGTGGAACAATATATTTTGGTGTTTTGCTGCCTTATTGTCATAGAACAATTTGATTGGACAATATATAATTTGTTTGAAACTGAAACATCAACATTATATTTACTATAAAAACCTCAACTTTATAAGAAAATAAAAATCAGAACTAAATCTTATTCCACTGTCCTGATGAATTTGATTATTTTTGCACCATTCCCTCACTCTGTGGCCTTAGGGCTAAATGGCTAGTATTCAAATTTAACAGTGGTGTAAAGTTGTTAAAGCATAGCCATTAAAATAAAGGGAGTATAACAAGCACAATTGGGTTTTTATTAGTTTAAGCTGTTATATCATTGAATCATTCGAAATTACTTATTGTTACTAAAAACGTTCTTATAAATTTGATCATTGATGGTAAATAACGGCATTGCATGTGCAATGTTTGGTGGTGAAATTCATGTAATTCCTCATCACATGTATTGTTACTCACCCCAACCTAAACTAAACCTAACTCATATTAGATGTCAGACATGTTTAATGGACCTATTCAAAAGGCCTTAGAGTTAGTGTCAAATATAAGCAAATGAATGTTGTTGTGTCCCCGTTCTTCCTTCAAGATGACGCACCAAACTTTCAGTGCATCAAACAAATTGTACCATTGAAGGCAAGGCAGGCACAATCATCAAATCCTAACTTCTTATTTTAGTTTTCTTTCCCAAATTGAGTGCTTTATTTATTCCCTCACCGCCATCATAATCTGGCATTTAAGTGTTTTCCAATCCAATTAAGTAATCTGCAGTTCTACACAATCAATGAAACTATTATGAATGATGGCATAAGCATGTATCATATTCGGATGAAGACTTGGTTTTCGTCTTGTTCCAAAGTATTAGAAAATTTTATTCCTAATAAAATTGTGGGTTACATATTTAAATATAAATTATATTATGTTATTTAATTAATAAGTAAATTAAGTGATCAATATAAAAGATCACAATCATGTTCCTAATTCGGTATGAACTTAATAAGGGGATATCTATAATATTGGCCCAATTAGTTGCAATGAGTGTCTATTGGAACAATATATATATAAAAACTAAATCTAGGGTCATGGTACCCAATAGGTGAAATCAGTTTCAGTTTTTCTTTTTTCTTTCCCATACAGAGAGAGTACCCTTTGAGGAGTGATTTGACTAGGAAAAACCAATGCTCGTAAGAAAAGGCACTCAATAGGATTAAAGATATATCGTTACTACAATGAAGACAGATACACTTTATTTGTTTTATATTTCTTGATAATCCAATATGACGTATATGAGGTTTATTGGGCGATGGTTTTCACTGTAAGGATTAATAAATTAATTTGCATCAAATTAATTTTGAAATTGAACTAGACTTAGAACACACGAGTTGTGCATATCTGCAAGTCGTGAAGTGGTTCAACAGGACCAGTGTGTTTGTATTTTTGTGTAGTCGCCTCGCGCAATTTGTCACTTATTGACTAAGTCTCCATAGATTGCGGGGTTAATAATTGACACATTCTACCACCAAAAATTCTTATAATGTTTTTATAAAAAATTATTTTAACCCAATATTTTAAGGTGTTGGGTGAAGATCTTTTTAATTATTTACATATCTCTAACACCCTCCTCACATGAGAGTCCTTTGACTTTGAAGCGTGAATATTATACAAGCTCAATTTATTTACTTTGTATTTATTTTATTTCCACTAGAAAGTACTCTTGACCTTATGGTCATTAAAGCTATGATACCATGTAAAGAATCACTTCAACTCAAAATCTTAAGGTGTTGAGTGAGGGTCTCTTGAATGATTTATATATTTCTAATAATTTTTCTTGCAGGTTAGCAATAAAGTTATTTCCCGCAAATATAAGGGAATATATGAGAAGAAAATGAGAAAAAGGGACTCCAGTCACTTCCTTATTTGTGCTTTAATATTACTTTAGCTTAAAAAAGATATCTCTAATTCTAATACTAGAATTGTATCACTTAGCCAACTTAATAGATTCGTATAATTAACTATTTCACACTGGTAAATAAGAGTTTTCCCAAGTGGCACTTCTATTGTGTAACACATGCATCCAAATATAATACTTGTTTGAAACTCCTTCATCTGATTTTGTAAGTCTCTATCAGACAATCCCATATTCCCACGATTATTATTGTGACTAAGACACGATTCAAGAGCTAAGAAATCAGTCAACTCTGCAAACCTTAGCACCCATGCATACTCTGAAAAAAAAAAAAAAAAAAAGGAATGATAAAAAGAGTTTATAATAAGAATTAACAACCATGCATGGCAAAAAAATTTATTCAATTTATCCATTTCAATTCCAATTACAAGTAAAATTTGTGTGAATAATTAAATATGGTAGCAAAACAATATCATACAAGACTGACTGCAGAATGGAGATCTAAGGGTAGGACATATTTGTCATTTTCATCAACATTTTTGCTCTGAAAAGAAAAGAATAGATGTTTTAAAAAAGGTGTTAATAGTTCTTCGGTCGATGCAGATCAGAAAATTTGCAGTAATACTTACTTTCACTAGGATTCGATTCCGTATCCTTTTTCTTTTTTTTTGTTAATTTCAGGATCTGGCTCCGTATCCTACTGTAATATATTTGCTGCAAGTTTTTCCATCAGCAATGACAGCAGAAACGAGGAACCTTTAAAAAATTCCTCAAAGATTATTATATGAAAAACTAGTTATACTAAAGGATTCAAATAGATTTTTTTAATCCGTAGAAAGTAAAGAATTAACATATATCACTTAATAAGTGACCATCTCACAAATTCTCCCCCACGTCTCTTCCTATATCAGTAGGCAGTAGCCTCAAAATTGGAAGGTACCCAAAGCATGATTGAATTGTTTGCAATGAGCCTCTAAATTTAAGGACAACAAATATTTTCGTGCTGTCTGCCCTTGTTCATTTCACCTATAAACCAAAGTTGCAAAAATGTTAACTCTTTTAAGATTACATCTAAATTTAAATACATGTTATATTTGAGATCATGAAGATAAGCAAGGACACATATAAAACAATTGACCATCATTTAACTATGTCCTGAAGGCAATAATACTAATCACCATGTTTACCTTTTGTTAATGCCGTGCCAGAAAAATTGCTTTTTTGTGTGAAGAATTGAATTCAAATATACGTTAAACATAAGCTAAGAAAAGCAAAGCTGAAATTCCCTGTTGTGAAGCACTTGATCAATCTTTATCATGTTAATTTTCACTGATTTGCAAGCCTAGACATCGATTTAATGAGTCCCTCTTGATATATCTTCATCTCTAAGATAAATCATGTTATCAAGGACCAACTTCTCCATCCAATAAATTTCCTGATTTTCCTTCATCAAGCAGCATATACCATTGCCCTGTGTAGTATAAGACATGAATGGTGGACCCTCTCTACTCAATAATTCCATTGTAAAATTCTAGATAGTTAAAATTACCTCTTTGCTTCCTATTTCAAAAAACTTTTTACATCATGTCAAACTTGGAAAGGTCACTAAATGTGTCACATGAAAAGTCTAGGAACAACCTTCAAACTATCACTATTATCATTGTTCAAAATGATGTGAGTGTTAAGTGTATGATCCAATATGAAAATCTCACCAAATATTTTTTTTATCAAATCTTAGTTAACCCCTCCACTTTCCATGTCCTCTCCCCATTAAGTTTATCCTTTTTCCTTATTTATATGCACTCACAGCCAAAGTCATTTTCACAACTGGTTCTTCCCTAACCTGATTTCCACAATGGCAAGAATGGCTCCAATGTGGTTCATACTTGTGGGGTTGTCTTGTTTCTTTGTAACTCAAGCATATGGGGAGAACTTGCTTGCAAGGACTATTTCTGGTGGCAATCATCATGAAACAATATTTAGACTGAAGGCATTCAAAACATCTCTCACTAAGCATGACTCCATTGTTTCATTACCACCATCTTCCTTCTCACCCTCTTCAAGCCCTTCTCCTCAGCCATTGCAGGTAATTCATTCATGCATAGCCTTTAATTTCCTTCATCTCTTCCATTAGGCAAGCTTACTTTCTTTATGTTAATGCAGGGTCTGAACAAACCACATGTGTACCTTGTGACATCTTATGGTGCAGATCCAACAGGAAATTCAGATAGCACTGAAGCTCTTCTTGCAGCCATATCAGATGCTGCCAAAGGTCCAAGTAAAGGGTTCTTGATGAAGGACATCAATGACCTTGGAGGTGCTCAGATTGATCTTCAGGGTGGAAACTACATGATCAGTAAACCTCTGCAGTTGCCAGTGGCTGGGGTTGGAAACCTTATGGTATGTTTATAGAAACTATTTTGCTTGCTTAATTCATCAAGTAATTTTAATTTTTTTTTATGAAAAATATTATCTCTCAATAAATTACTACCCCATTGATCTAGAAAATGAAAAAATATCTACCTTCATAAAGTTTGTATATTTTCCTTCTTGTTGTGACACGTGGTATTGTTTTGTAAGAGTTTCAAATAATAGGTATTCATTCTAGTAGTTAGTATATTTCGGTCTAACTAGGACAAGAAAAATGGTTTTTAGGAATCACTATACCCATTAATAGTTTAGAAATAAAAAAATCATCTTTTTCAATCTTTTCTCCTTTTTATGTTTTTTATTTTATTTATTTTTTTGTTACTTTTTTCAACAAAAGACTTTTCAGCAATTCCAAGAACAGAAAGTTGTACCAAATCAAGGAAAATTGCAGTTTTTTTTTTCCCTTTATTGAGTCAATAGGTCATTCAAAAGACCTCAAATTTGACAGTTCAGTTTGATTTTAATTATAATTCAATGTTAACAGATACATGGGGGAACTATAAGGGCCTCAAATAATTTTCCATCAGATGGATATCTCATTGACTTGTCCAACACTGGAGAAAGCAAGAAAGGGTCCACTTCAACATCCTACAATTATGAGTACATAACTTTCAAGGACCTCTTGCTAGATTCCAATTTCACTGGGGGAGGCATTTCAGTCATAAACTCACTTAGAATTAACATAGACAATTGTTACATTACACATTTCACTACCACTGGAATTTTAGTCCAAAGTGGCCATGAAACCTATATCAGGAACTCCTTCCTTGGCCAACACATTACTGCTGGAGGGGATAAAAAAGAAAGGGACTTCTCAGGCACTGGCATAAGCCTTCAAGGAAATGATAATGCAGTCACAGATGTTGTGATTTTCTCTGCTTCTATAGGAATAATGGTCACTGGTCAAGCCAACACTTTTTCTGGTGTACATTGCTACAATAAGGCCTCTGGCTTTGGAGGAACTGGGATTTATTTGAAACTTCCTGGTTTAACACAAACCAGGATTGTGAATTCTTACATGGATTACACCAAAATTGTTGTTGAAGACCCTGTTCAAGTTCATATCTCTAGCAGTTTCTTCCTTGGTGATGCCAATATTGTACTAAAATCAATCAAAGGGGTTGTAAATGGTCTAAGTATTGTTGACAACATGTTCTCAGGTTTAAATAATGGGGTTGAAATTGTGAAGCTAGACCAATCAAATAGTCCTTTCAATCAAATTGATCAAGTTTTTGTTGCTAGAAATATTGTGAAGGGAATGAACTTAAAGGCCACATCAGCAAAGATGTCTATGCATGGGAATGGAACTTCATGGATTGGTGATTTTAACAAAATTCTGCTTTTTCCTAACCTTATTAAACATGTTCAGTACTCCTTAAGCACCACAAGCAGCACCTTCCCAAATCATGCTCTAAGAAATGTGTCTGGGAACCGCATTGTGATTGAAACAGATGAGGCAGTAACTGCAAATGTTTTTGTCACAGTGGATCAAAGTATTGTGAGTTGAAGATATATAGTTTGAAGGTGGTGACCCAAGAAGTTCTGACTGAAGATCAGGGAATTGTGCATAGCTTAGTTGAAATCTTTCTTTCTTTGGACAATATTAAAAGTAACCATACTACAAAGATTTTAGACTCTTATGTTAAAGTTATCAAATACATTATGTTGTAAGTAGCAAAAAATGTATTTTATAGGGTATACTTTTCATCAGTTCGGTTAAAAATCTGGACCTGGACTGTCTAGTTTGAAAATACCTAGAATTATTGGTGAATAAATTTCTACTTGAAGAATTGGCCAAATCCATTTGATTTGCTATTAATAATTCTTTAAAATGAATTTACCATTATTTATGGTTATGTTTAATTATCTTTAAATAATAAAATATGTTGGTAATTTTATTTTTTATTTTTCTTTGTTTTTTTGCAGCTTGTTGGTCAAAATATTTTTAATTATAGTTCTTCTAAGAATCATTACCGGATAAGTTTGCATTAGTTTCTATAAGCGGTAGGGAACTTGAGGCATCCAAAGTTCTGTCATCCTAAAGTCTCACATTTTTTTCTTCTTGTGGGTCATAGGAATGAAAATATTTTATCGTACCAACCATTCGGTATATTCTTTACCAAATATGAAAAAATAAAAAATTATATTATCTTTATCTTTATGACTATTTTCTTTCATATCTTTATTTTTTTTCCTTTTTTTTATAAGGATATACATACTTCTGTTGCACCGAAAATTTACTCTGGAGCTATATAATATTTTCTTGGCAAAGATAACCCAACTTATTCTCTTTTATAATGTCTAAATGGGCATGACACATTCAAATTACATCAATTTTTTTCATAGCTATAGAAAGATTATTAACCCCACTGAGGATTTACGGAAGAATTATATTATTGCCTATTAAAGAGGAAAATATAATAATCAAACTCAAATCACGACTAACATGGACATAAGATTCAACTATATATATATGCCAACCCACATTGCAAATTATGTTGTCACTTTTGTCTACACAATGTTAATAAGAAAAAACAATATTGTCAAATTAAAGGAAAGAATGAATTAACACACTTAATGACTAGACAATTCCCATATAATGTGTACTTAATTATATGTTTTATATATAAAATAAGGACCATGAGTCCATGACTACAAGGTCAGTGACAGAGCCAGAAAAATTAAAAAGCTAGTGATAAAATCAGCAACTATGGAAGAAACAAACTATTTACATTCATTAAAGATTAAAAAAAGTTTTTGATTTTGAAAACCAGCCAGTGCCAAAGCATTTGCTAGTTCCAACGTGGCTATGCCACTGTACAAGGTGTTGTTGAACAGGATAGTTGTGTCTTTCAAATTTTTTATGCCACCAAGTAGCAGATAAACAAATTCTACGTAGAAACAAAAGTATAACTAATCGTTTCTATTTGTGGTTGGCTGCTTCCTTTCGTACCCATTATTCAAGCACTTAGAATTTGTGGGCCTATTCAATTTGAAAACTTGCTATTTGCATAGAAATTTCAAAGCCAAATTTCATAATCAAATTCTATTTTCCTATGGAAGCAAAATGGGGGAAAGCAATTTCTAAAAACTAAACCATTTTTCAATTGGAATCATATAAATTTACTTATAAACGTATTACTTTTTATCAATATAAGTATAACATGACACGAATAACATGTGTACTGAATATTATTTTGATCAATATCATGTTGATACAATTTGACAAGACACAATAACTTGGAAGATGATCAACATAAATTGTAAACCCCTTAATAATAATAATAATAATAATAATAATAATAATAATAAATGGGGATAAATTATTGCATTTGACTTTATTATTTTTGTGTTTTTTTAATTTTTTTTAATAGTCATGCTTAGAACCCTCTTGGAACATATAATGCATAAACTTATGTGAACATTTTGAATTCAAAACCAAAACTCCAAGAAATTCATATGGAAATGCCTGTTAATAATTATTTGTGTAAAACATTCACAATTTGTATGATGATATTTTTCCTAAAAATAGAGGTTATAAAAACCATTAAGAGAAATCAATGAAAGAGAGGTATTGTGAATTTTGAAGAAAATCATACTAGGGGAAAAGTTCTAGCCCTTTCTCGTTGGACATTTAGCCCATTTTATTTCACCTGATAAATAATTTTTCTTTTCACAAATTCATTCATTTTTAAGAGTTTACAGGTTTAATCAAAATTCAAATAATACTTGTATATGACTTTTCAATTTACATATCTCATAAGCAACAATTAAACTGGGTTCAATATTTTTTGACAAAAAAAAATACAATTAGATTACCTCTAAAAAATATTGGGAGAGGTATTGCTAACATTCTCAATATAAAATTGTTGGGTCACTTTAATGCTATTGATCTGTCACCAACTTAATAATGTTATTATTACAGTAATAATACTTAATTAATTAAATTGACAAGTAATGTTTAGACAGGTTGACTAACGAGGATATTCTCACATATAAATATAAGCATATTGAAAAAGAAGTTGTTCAGTTCTATTAAACCGTATAATGATATCTCAAGGGTACGCGCTCAGAGATATACTGTGGATATGTATCTAGGTTGGCTTATAGCCAATATTTCCATCACTGCGCACAAGCAATAGGCTTATAGCTGAGACGTGGGTGTGTGCATAGTGTGGCAGAAGTAGTAAATGAGTTCAGACTATGTACCTGGGGTCTTTAATCTCTTATTTATAAGGGTTACCTCATGGGCTTGTGTAGATCTTCCAGTTGTAGTAGGATTTAACTTCATTTCTGTTGGGATAAAGACTCTATCCTTAGCTGCCTTACTGTTTTATATTGTTAGGATAATTGAAAAATTATCCTTTAAGAGATTCTTGGATAGATGATTAGAATATGAAAATATTCCATAAACAGAAGTTAAGGTGATTATATCACAATAATGGGTTTAAAGTATACTCTCTTAAATGTTCAAAGGACACCATAAAACTTTTAATTTATTTATTTATTTATTTTAGTTGAGTAGCAGTATATCACATTAAAACAAAAAATTCATTATATGAAAAGAAAGATTTATTCTAAGAGGCAGGTATCATATTGATAGTGATATATGCAAACACCAGTGACATAGGTTATTTGAAAACTTCAAAGCTAATATTTAAAGATGATTAACTAAAGCCATAAATAAAGTTAAATTAGCTTTAAAGAATTATTAATAGTTAATCAAATACTATTGGATTAATAATAGATGCATATGACCTCATATTTTTCCTTAAGCTTTATCACATTTTTAGTGTCTTAAATTCACAAAATGAAATGATCTCTCAATATAAAATGAAGAGAAGATTTAAGATTTTCTTAATCTCAATGAAAATAAATATAATTTTTAATATATTTGTTCTTTATGCTGATTTCATGATTAAAGAGTATGTTTTATTTGAAAGGTACACATAAATTGTAGGTAAAAAACTCAATAAAATATTAATCTTAATCAATTAGGTATGGCAATAAAACATGGCGAAAAAAAAAAGAATGTTGCAGCAATTTTTTGAGTCTACCAAAATGAGAGACAATTAGTCTCACATGCAATAGGACAAAAGCTTGGAGGGTGTACCCCACAAAGATAAAATGCTAAATAGAAAATTCAAAAGCCACTTAAAAGAAAAAGGAAGCAGCCACTTGAAAAGTGCCAAATTAAGTTGCTTGACTACTTCAACGTAAGCCACACTTAACCCCCTTTTTTAGAGGAACTCACAAATCGAGTCCCAACCCAATCTATTCCACTCAAATTTAGTATTTCAAATTTCACCCAGACCCACACAGCCTGTCTAACAACTTAAAGAACAAGGAAAACAATAAGTGGTCGTTTGCTACGAGGGATTTTTTAGGATTTTCGAAAAATTAAGAGTGGTAATCATATTTATTTACGTTTAGTACAAAATTTTTAAAATTTTCTTGAAAATTCGATTTTTTTCAAGATTTTATTGTGTGTAAATTTTTTTGAAAATACATCCAAGAATACCATCCAGGGGATGGTATTCTAAGATTTATATGACAAGAGAAAATTTAATACAACTAAACATAGCATTAAGAAAATTAACCCAATATTTTCGGGAATATTTTAGTCTACCAAACACCTTTTTGATAACATTTTCAGAAAACTCATTTTCCTATCATATTCCTGGAAATCGTGATTTCCGGTTAAAAAAAAAATTCTCTTCTACCAAACGCACCCTAAAGAAAATCTCTAACTTATTTCATTTTCATAATTTTTTTTTTCAAAAATTATTGAAATGACAAATAGTTTTTCCCATTAAAAACTAAAAAAATTATTCCCATAAAATTTATCCATGTTTTTTCACACTAATTGGGAATGTTGGTTATGAAACAAAAATTAAAACAAAAAATCTAACTTATTACATGTTCATAATATTTTTCCAAAACACTTAAAAAAAGTAAGCTTTTCAATTAAATTAAAGGATTAGAAAGATAAATTTTATCTCTTACACACTTAAAAATGTGGGGTTATATTTTATTTTTCTTCTTTTCATATGGAGTCATCACTTTTATATATGTGTGGCAGATAATTTTATTTCCAACGATATGAGAATTAAAGTAAGGGATTAATGTTTTACACACACGTAAAAGTGTGCGAGACTCATGTGAAGAGAAACAAAAATACGAATTTCACACACTTTTATGTATGTGTAGAAGATAAAATTATATTAAACCCTTAAAATAATAATAGGAAAAAGTGTTTGTCATTTTAAATGACATAAAGTTATGTCATTTTAAGAAATAGATAGACAACAAGAAAATATTTTTTATTTAAAATTTAAATTAAAAAAAAATCATTCACTTTTTTTTCTATGATTTTCATTCATTGTATGTATCTCTCTTAAAATGACATAACTTATGTTATTTAAAACAAGAAACACCAAATCCATAATAATAACACATAAAGCTAAGTCAATCCTCACCTTGTTGGTTTGTTGTAGAAAAGATTCCTTCATTATTTTAATATAATACAACTTGTTCCAAACCACATCCTTTTGTCTTTGAGCAAAAAACAGTAACCAAGGCAATTGAGTTCACAAGATGAAGAAGGGACTCTCTCTAGCATTTCTGGTGATGCTTATTCACCTACATCTGAGTGGGGCAACAACATCATGGAAGGTGGTCAACGGCAACCACCACAAGGGCTGTGTAGGCGGCGCCGCCGTAGAGGACTGTCTCATCGGCAAAGACTTGGAATCAGAGTTCTCCTTAGGTTCCCATACTGCGAGGATGCTCTATGATTTTAGCCAGTCAGTGACCGGGAGAAGCGGTAACTCGAATGGTGGTTCTGTTAATTGTCCACAGAGTCGAGGTTATCGTAGCTGCTTGCCCTCACAAAATGGAGGTGGACCTAGACAACAATGTGGTGATTACACGCGCACTTGCTAAGATTATTGTAAATCTTAAATGATTTTCGTTCCTTTTGATGTTTAAGGTTGTTTTAATCTGAAGCTGTTTACAAGGTTTTTTTTTTTTTTTTTTTTTAATTGTGGTTTTGTATCTATCACCTGTGTTGTCAATTGTTGGTGATTGACTTGGTTTCTCATTTTAAATGTTATTGTTAAGAAATAATTCCATGTAAGGTGGAAGAGTTTATATGAACATAAAGATTGGCTCAATAATTTTGTTTTGCATATCATGTTTTGGGTTCAAATCAAACTATATATTTCCTTCTATATTTTTTTTCTGGATGGTTGAACGATTAATTTCAGGGCATCTCTGACATGATTTCATCCTCTTTTTGACTATCTGAAGATAGAAGTTTTATGTACAGATTGCAAATTTTTGTTTTTAAGAATTTTGTTCATAATTTTAAGGTATAAACTAGAACTTAAAATTACGAGTGTGTTTTATATATAGAATTTAGCCATGAAATAGAATTGGGCCTTTTATGTCTAATTATTTTATGGGAAATGATTAGTTTATAAATTTTTTTATAAATTTTTGCAAATTACACTGTGTACTCTCGGAAGAACCTAGTGTAATTTAGTGTTCTCCCGAGAGAACATGATGTATTTGTAAGAGTTTGTAAACAAAATATTTGTTTATTTTATTTGTTGTATACATTAGAATTGGAATTTCAATTTTAGGTCTGATTCTTTATAATTGAACAATAACTTAATTATATTATCTTTTAGGGAAAATATATTGTAACAATCAATTAGGGTTACTATCAATGTTACTACCAATCAATTTCACTGTTAAATCAATTATATTATCCAACGGTTATATTTATTTTTATCTTTGTAAAGTTATAATTCCTCATATTTAATACTTTATATTTATTTTTATCTTTGTATGGTTATGATTTTTCATATTTAATGCTTTCACATTAAATATGGGAAATAATAATCATACAAAGATGGAAATAAATATAACCGTTGGATTAACATAACCGATCTAACGATGAAATTGAGTGATAGTAACATTGGTAGTAACCCTGATTGGTTGTTACAATATTTTATCCTCATCTTCTATTGGTAACTTAGATTTAAAGAATTACAATTCTAAGTATTAAAAATAAAATAAATAAATATTTTATTTTTTTTATTTTTCCATTGGTTTATGTCTGTCATTCACATCCTCTAATAACTATTGTTAGTGTTACGGTCCTTCCACCTATTGTCAAAGTCCTTCGTTCTTCCACTGTAATCTTTAGCATCATTGACCACCGTGATTGATGGAGTCCAACCACAGCTTCGACCGGCATTTTTCAATATAACTTCAATTTAATTTTAAATTATGATACTTAATTTCAATCTATAATTTAAAATTTAACATCTAGAAGGAAAAATGAAATTACTTGTGAAATGAAACCACAATGATTTAACAAGTGGAGTCTTTATTACGTTATTTGCGCCCAATAGTAAAAATGTAGTTATTCAAATTTGGTTGGTAAACTTATGGTGGACCTTTATTTTTTTATTTTTTTTTTATAACATGGTGGACCTTTATTAACTGGTCAGCTATAATGCAAAATAACACATATAAATCCACTTTAGACAAAATGACAAAAACGAAGTTAGGTATATTATTTTTCCCTTCCATCTAATAATTGTGGATTGTAATAATGCTTTGTGTTTTGGAAATGAGCATTAATCACATCATCCCATAATTGTACGCGAGGTGACAAAACAATAATACGAGTATACAATAAAATTTGATTTTTTTTTCTTAAATCGCCAAAACCTTGGGTTTTGTGCATAATCAAGTGGTAAATAATTCGTGGAAAGCTCTTTCAATTCGGAGAAGATTCTTTTAGAACGAGTTTTACTTTAAAGTAAGGTGTTATTACTATTATGTATGTTTTTGCTACAAGAGAATTTTTTTAGTATTTGGAATTACGATTAATTGAATACAATAGAAATTGAGTTTACTTAAAATCTTATAAAAAATGTGTTTGGTTCGCCAAAATATTACCGGGAATATTGGATAAAGATTACTGATTCCATGTTTGGTTTAGAACAAAATATAACTTGAAATATGAGGTTATTTTACAAAAATAACTCCAAACTATTTTTACTTTTGTAATTGATAGATTGAGTCTAGGTTTTTATATGTGTTGGGGTATTTTTATCTCAAAAATTATTGTTGTGTTTGTCCTTTACTTAGTATTCTGAATTACCATATTATTTTTTGTAATCTGAATAGTGATTTTTCTTTATAAATCAAATTACCGGTAATCCTTGGATATCCGGGAACTGATTTTTGTTCCTTCTACCAAACATGGTAATTGGGTTTACCAAAGAAGGTTTACCAGTAATCCTTTTGAAATATTTGTACCAAACACACCCTTAATAAAATGTATTATTATTTTCATTTATTAAAACTTTATTATAAACAAAGTAATAAGTAAAACACATCAATAATTTTTATATTATATATTTATAACATTAATAATAATGATTACAATTGCAACACCCTTAAATTTTAGTGGGTTGAGATATATACTATCCAATCAAACAATTATAACTAAAACAAAAAGTACAAAAATACCAAAAGTAGGGTCGAGTTTTATTATTTTTCTATTTTGAGCCTCACATATGTTGCATGCTAGAGGCCTCATAGTCCATGTTCATTCAATTATTTATACGAAGACATGTGTTTGATGTTAATTTGTACCTCAGCTCGAGAAAAAAAAAAACAGCCCTGTAACTTGGAGTATTTGATCATGAATATATTTCAAGGCCATAGAGTGGTAGCAGATGTATCCTTTTCATGTGTTAATTGAAGCATGTGACTGGGCCTGGCCTAGGCAAGAATAAGAAACAAGTGTTTTTGGAAACATCTATATATTTCATTTTTTTGGGTCCCTGGTATTATTTTTCTTCTTTTCTTCCCTGCACAATAGGAACCTTAATTTTTCACATAAGTCAATGAAGCTGTGTGACTATTCTAAATACTTAATCCAAGCACATGAAGCACCAAAAATCGTTGTCTGGCTTTGTCATCTTCCCTTATCGAGTTATCGTACTTGACAACTTGCACGGAAGATGCAAAGAGCAATGACTGATTTTCTGTAAGGTCAAGGTGATATTTTTTTTATAAACTTATTGTATACAAGTTATATACATTACTTCAATTAATAACTGAAATATACATTACTTCAAATTGTGTACAGGCTCTGGATTTCTTCAATCATGAGTATAATTTTCAAAGGATAATAATTAATAACTAGAGAGGTTTCATATCCAATTTCTTTAATGCGCTCAAGAAGATCACCATTATTTCTATTTACATAAAAGACAATTACTGCTTGGAGACACTTTTTCTTGATCAAATTTACATTTTCGAAGTTTAGAAAGTACTATATAATAGAAAATAAAATATGATTTAAATTCGAATGGTACAATATTGGGTCAAAAAATCTAACCTAATTGTTCTGGCCCAATCAATCAGAACAAGATAAGATTACTAAGAATAACTACTAAACCCAAACATAGTTATCCCCTAATAATCTCTTGGTGTATTGGTGGAAGAAAAATTAAGTTTCCATTAACAAGAGATACAAAAGAAAAATTAAAAAGGAAAGAAAACAAAATATCAAGAAATAAAAAACAAAAAAAATTATGTATTTACTACTGGGGTTTGATGTTTGTCATTTTAAATGACGTAAGTTATGTATTTTAGGAGAGAGATAGACACAATAAATGAAAATCATAGAGGAAAAGTGGATGGTTTTTTTTAATTTAAATTTTAAATAAAAAAATTTATTTTGTATCTATCTCTCTCTTAAAATGACATAATTTTATATCATTTGAAATAACAAACACTTTTCCTTTACTGTTATGCAGTTTCAAATTTACGCAAGTACAAAATTTCGAAGTTCAGGTGTATCTCTGAGAAACTTGCATGCCTTGAACACTATTTTCTCAAATTTGATCAACGATGTGAAGGACAGGAAAAGTAGGGAAGGAATTCACAGGTACCCCCAGTTTGAAGGAAAGAGATATTAGAAAAGAGTATAATGAAAAATGAAAGGGAGTAAAGCTGAGAAAAAATTATAGACCAATATTTGTGTTTGTTAGGTATTTCATATTTGGCTCGTGTACAATTTCTTGTTGGAAATAGATTGATTTTCTTAAATTTAATTTTGACTTGATTAAAGCAGAAGCTAACCAGGTTTAGTTATATACAAACACCAAATGACAAGGTTGTGAATTACCAGTTTGAGGGATTATTCGGTTTATGAAATGGTACTAGACAACAAGGGGTTTTGGATTTAGATTTGGGATTAAACTCAACATTTTATTGTCTTTCTGTCATAATGAAGCCATTGTATTCTCTGACGGACGTATGAATAGATTGCACTCATATGCTTGTATGTTAATTGCTTCATTCTTGTGTTATATTCACTATTTTTCCCAGCAATTTGGTATCAAAGAGTACCTTAGCACTACGCAATCTAGTAAATAAGTTTAACATAAATTTGACTACTATAAATAATTTGAATGTCAAGAAATTTGACTGAGAATGAAACTTAAATATGTTGCAAAAGAGAGAAATAGTTATCCTTGTTCAACAAGGTTTGGCTCGAGCAATGCAGGGTAAACATGGAAAGCCAATGAAGTGTGTTGGCTTGATTCAGCTCTGTATGGTTGATAACATGATTAACATCATCTATGCGTTGGAATTCGGCAGCAGATGAAGATACTTTAGTATAAGCGTTCAACAAAGAAATAGTTTATGACGCGCCAATTATCTCATGGGGCAAACGTACTCGTTAGTGACATTGAATTAACCAGGGAAAGTTCATGTCAACATGGAAGAAGAAAAAGTTCTTCCAAATCTATATTGCAATTCTGTCGCCACAGAATCTATGGCCACAGTTCACTTAAAACTAAACAAGTTGTACATTGATTCCCAGGGCTACAGTCCACAGGCATAATATACTAGAAACAAACGTGAGGCTTGTCAACATAACATTGGGATAGAAAAACATCAATCAAAATGGCTTCTCTATCAAAGTTGGTAGTACAATTAGAGTCACCTGCCAACTGAAAGAAATACAAAAATTGTGACGAAACAAATATAATTTTTTCCTCTCTCTCTTTAGGATTCAAAAATTCGACCGGATTGAATATAGATACTTAAGACAAAAAAACGTCTTCAGCGAACTACCAAATTTTGGGCTGCCTGGGACCCATCCTCCGCTATTTTGTTAGCCTGAATAGTACTAATAACATTCGCAATGTTTCCCTGGAAATAGAAAACAAATAATCAAATATCATAGCAAATCAAAAACCCGTGACTCATTTTAAAATAGGTTATACAATTTATTTTCCAATATGGCTGTATAAAAAAAGGGATTGTATAGACATTTTTTTCTTTTTGGTTATATTGTATAGACATTTCTATACATTGGTATCGTATCAAATTATAACTCTTGACATTATAGATGAGAAATTATTTACCCTCCATGTCACGAGCTTTGTTCTCAGTGTTTGCCATTGTTGCTGACCAAACACACGATCAGTATGGTGACTGCACATTTAACACTTGCATTAAATCAAGTATTAAGAGCTAAATGATTTTTGAACATGGGGGAATATATGATGATGAACAAGAATAGCTATAGCCAACAGGAGCTTGTCCATGTGTCCACAGAACAGCAAGAAGGGGTAGAGAGGAGCGAGAAATAAAGTGGAACGTACCTAACAACTACAACTTGATTCATTTGGTCCATCTTACAGTCAATTAACTTGGCAGTTATTGCTTTAACCACCCATAGTTCAACCTCATCATCATTAATCTGAAAGGGAAGTTTCAACATTTCAATTATACTGGGAAGAATGCAAATGCAAACATAGAAAACACAATTTTACCCGAAGTGTATCCCTAATAAGTTCATAAGGAATTTGGCCAGATCCGTCAGAGCTAAGATCCACCAATGACATCAGCCTCATTTTGGCAATGCATTCTTCATGAACAAGGTCTGAAAACATAATTCCATCGAAAATTTTTAATAGCAACATAAAACAGAAGAGAATTCTGCAAATGTAGTTATTGATAATCATTTGTGAATAAATAATGTTTACCATAGCTTTTCAACAAGTTGGAATTTGCAGCATGGTATTCTAAGTATGCATCCAGCCTCTGAGTAAGAAAAATCTTGAGAAGTTGATACAACAAAGCATATTTGGCATCCTTCTCCAGTTGCCCAACAGCAGGCAAATCTAGTAACTCACACTACAACATAACAATACAACTTTGTGAATGCTCTTCCACAACTTACAGCAATCTAGGCCAAAAATAATATGAAAAAACAGAAGACTTAGATACCTGAGGGTAAAATAAATAATGACCAGAAGAAAATAGACAACAAGCCAAATGGGAAACAGAAATTCTAAACAAAGCTGAGCTATAACAAGAAGAAAGCATCCTTATCACCTTAAGGGTATTAGTACTAAGCAACAAATTACCATGTTTCACAGTTTCATACTTCTGTTTCTAATTCTATATCTACACCCAAAACGACCAGAAAGTCAAGCACCCTCAAAGCAAAGGAAGCATTGAGAAAACAAGAGAAAAGAGAGTATATCACAATTGTCAAGAGTTACTTAAGATGAACACTATAACAAGCTGAAAAAGTAAATACATTCGTTCAAATCTCATAATTACACAACGTACTTGAAATATGTCAGGTGCCCTCACAAATTCCACAATTGCACGCACAGCCTCCTCCTTGGTTTCACTCAAAACATGTGCATCTTCTCCATTAAAAGTCACCAGATAATTGTTCAGGAACTTAAAAGAATCCTTTGACATACTGGGATAAAAAGAGAGGCAATACTAATTATTTTTATAATAAGAAACGGAGGTCGCAAGATGGATAGAAGATTGTTGTCCCACAAGGGAGTGGTACCGAAGAGAAGAAACTGAAGTTACATTCCTACTCCCAAGTGGGGTAAAGAGAAGATACATTTAATTGACATAAAAAAGAATGCACTTTCTGCTATACCTTTTATTTTCCTTCAAAATATTAGAGATAGTGAGAAAGAGCTCTCTCTGTTCTGGTATTCCAATTTTCCAATCTTTCATGAAGCTATCAATCTTTTTGAATGAAGGTATAATATATTCTGTGACTTTCCCGTCAACTGCTAAATTCAATAACTTCGTGTAGACATAAAACTGGCAGTATGGAGTCTCCAAAAGATTATACAGATTGATCAAACTGCAAAGACAAGAGAAGATATTTTTTTAAAAAACAATAATATAAGTAGTCACAGTAGAATACATTACCAAAATTTCTAAATCAGGTACTATGTAATATTACATCTTCAATCGCACTGAAGGCTTTTCATTAGGCTGCTGAATTACTTTTGCAGTTATAACTTTGATGATCTCCATCACTTCATCTGGATTCTCAGTCTTTGTAACAAGATTGCAGATAATAGTGAAGATGGACTCTATATCTGGCATAAGAAATAACAGATCTTGTTAACACGGTCACATTCAGCTTCATTTGAGCAATGCATCGCTCAAAAAAAGTCACAAATGCAACATCGTTAAGAAAAAGGGCTAAGAGAATATCACAGGTCAACAATGCTACAATCAACCAAAGTAGCAGAACCAGAAAAGGAATCCAAGCTCAGATGACTGTAGTATCGTACAGCATCTAAGCACCACATAGGATTCAATTTTTTATCAACGGAATTGGATAAGACATTAGCTAAAATGCAAGAGGAACAAAACACCAATATACCACGGGCCAGTATATCTCAGACTTTCAAGTATATATCGAGCAAGAAGAGTATTCTACCTTTTTCAGAAACCTTTGAGAAAATCAATTCAGCAGAAGTAATCATCAATGATGCTAGCTCCAACCACTTTCCCATAGCAATGAATTCTGCAGCCTCCATGCAGAGTTTACTAACCTCTGGCTCAGCAACCTGACAAACCAAGATAGTAGTAACGAATTTATGAAAAATACAGGCGCCAAATCAAAACAAAAACATAGTGACAATATACCAAGATGAATGACTTTACAGAAACGAAATAGAAGAAACTAATATAGCGCGTTTGCTTTGTTTTGTTTAACTCTTCACATTCCCTAAGCTCCAACAACGTAGCATCAACACCCCACTCTGGCACCCACAAACCCAAAAAAGAAAAAAAATCCTAACATTTCCAACTCAACCTCTGTTGCATCCTTCCCCTCTTTCATCCAATATACCAAACGACTCTGTCAATTATATCTCATTCCGTCCCTTTCATCTTCTGAACATCAAAGTGGATCTCGGAAACTTCTAGAACAGAAATTAAAGATACACAACAATTTTCACAAACATACTTAAACTTAAATACACTCCTTTCAAATCAAAATCTCAAGTCAGCAGTTATATAAACTCAGATTCAATTTTTGAGTTCTAGAAGCATTTCAACTTAGGAGATACACAAACGCGTTGTGAATGCACTATTCTGAGTTGGTTTTCACAAATTAGAATCAAACAAGAGAAAGAAAAAAAAAAAACTGCTTTCGAGCAGAGGAAAATTGACAGTTTTTTATGCGTATAATTGCAGTACCTCGGGACCGGCATCGGCCCAGGCAAGCTCTGAGGCGAATCGAACAACGGAGAGCGCAGCGTCTTCCTCGGAGGTTGGCACCACCGTCGTCATGGTCTCTGCAACTGCTAGATTCGAAACCCTAACTCGCTTGCTCAATGCAGAAGACCCAACGCTACCAAAACCCTACTTTGCTCGGGTTTGATGGCGTTAAAGATTAAAAATAGACAAGCTAAGATTTTTTTATGAAAAGATAAAAATTATAAAAAGACAAAGTTAGTTTTTAAAACTTTATACTTATCATCTTTTAAAATTATAATAAAGTAAAGTTATTAATGTTTTTAATGTAGAAAATAATTTTATCTTTTATACATACATATTCATGTAAAGTCGTGTGAAGAAAAAAATATGGATCCTACATATTTTTATGTGTGCGTAAAAAATAAAATTATCTCCTACAATATAAGAAATATTAAGTATTTATTTTTTCTAAAGTTACTCTAAAATATTTGTTTAATGCTCGTCGAAACGAGATTGTTTTAGGACGAAAATTAGTGTTTGTAATTTTAATTTATTACAGAATTATAATATCATTCTAATTTTTTAATCTTCTAATCTCAAAACTACGTCGTATCAGTGAATATTAAATAGGTTTTTATAAAATAACTTTAGAGACTTTATTTCCATCATTAATCCCTAAAATAAATATATAGTGATAATAATAGCCCCTAAAATGGATTATATTAGAATATAATCTTCAAATTTATACCAAAAATATATTTATAACAATTTAAGTAATTTTAACTTCTACCGTTAATAAAATATTATAAATCGCAAGTTCTAAACCCTAATTTTTAAGTTTAAGCATTTTATTTTAAGGTCGTTATTTTTATTTATTTAACTCTTCAATTTTAGCCTCCAATATTTCAATTTTAACATCAGATCCTACATTATTTAGGGTTCACCTAGGTCTCTTTTATTTCGATTGGTTTCGTTTAACTATATTGTTAAAGATGCATTCTTACTTTCTAATTTCAAAATAATATTTTTAAGGGAAAAATGTCTATACTTTTAAATTACACAACTTACATCCTTTCACTCTCACAAAGAGGTGGGACCCACAACTTTATTTTTTTTGTCAACTCTCTCTCCTCCTTTATCTATCTCTTTCTCTCTCTTAAAATGACACAATTTTACATCCTTCAAAATTATACACATTTTTCCCTATTTTTAAACTTAAGATTATCATCTCTTAGGTTATCATTTGCTCTAGCCAAATTTTTGTTTGATTTAGAGATATTTTTAAGTTCATTTTTTAAATCACCAAAATTCATCTAAAACCTACTCATTATGTTCACTTGATATCATGTATTTATCTATTAATAAATCTAATTCTTTTAGTAAATGCTTCTTGTATAGCTTATGCATAGATGATTTATGTTCAAGAATATTTACACCAGAATTGTCATCATCTTCTTCGGATTCAGTTTCAACTATCAGGTTTTCAACTATCAGGTATATGCTTGTTTCAACTTTATTGTTGTCAGAACAATCTTCATCCAATTCTGAGTCACTCTAGAATGCTATTATGACCTTTTTAAATTATTTATTTTCAAACCGCTTTTAATCTTTGGCCTTTTATCTTTCATAGACTTTTGTTCCCACTCATGACATTCTTTTATCCAGATATATGTTTGCCACATTTGAAATAGTTATCATTAGTTTTAGAAGTGGTGGTTTGGATCTTATCGGTGTGTAGTCAAATCAAGTAATCAACCTTTCATCTGATTCTTCTTCGTGTTCCATAGATTTGGCTTTAAGAAATATTCCTTTCTCTTTTGTCATTGAAGCTTCCTTTTTGTGACACTCCAGTTGCATCTCAAAAGTCATAAGGGATTCAATGACTTGGTCTAGATTGAATGTTTTAAAATTATCTGTTTTATGCAAGGTTGTAATTTTAGGCATTCAATCTTATCTAGAGATACTTAGATTTTTCGTGACATGTTCTTCCATTATGATTTCTATGTATAGAACATTTAACTCATTTACAATATTAGTTAAATGTGTAATCATATCTCTAATTCACTCTTTTTATTTTATGGTAAATAATTCATATTGTTGTAATCAGAGAAGAATTTTAGATTATTTTACCTCATTGATTCCTTCATGAGTTACTTGTAAGAGATCCCACATTTGCTTGCAAATTTTACATTCCATGACTCGGTTGTATTTTTGTGTTCCAAGACTACAATGAAGATTTTTCTTGGCTAGTGCGTTAAACTCCTCCTTATTACAATCTTCATCATGGTATTCCTTTGTAGGTTTGGGTATGATTTCTTCCTTTGACATTCCTTGTGGTGATTTCAAAATCTCCATTTTCAATTACATTTCAAACTTGGTAGTTTTCACCTTTCATGAATATCTTCATTCTATTTTTCCAATAGTTGTAAATTTAACCTTTAAAGAGTGGAGGTCTTTGGGTCAAGTAGTTTGCCCTTCTCTGATCATTTTCATTCCATTTATCTTTAGGATATTCTCTTTAGGAGTTACATGTGTTCATTAAAGAATGCATATCTCATACTGTTTATTGGTCCCATATGAACTAAAGAAGGAGTAATTTAAGTTATATAAAAAAATTCAATTAAACCAATGCAAATTTAAATATAATAATCTTGAGCAGCTAAGAATAGTACAATTAGATAACTTAAGTAATTACATGAAAAAACTCCAAAAGGAGAAGGGGAAATCCCACAACCTCAATTTGATGTCTATATCCAATTAGGAGATTATTCCATTATAATAAGTTAAGCTCAATTCAAAGAATAAGAATAAATTATACTATACCTTGGAATTATTGAGATCGTATTTAATCTCGTTCGGGGACATATAGTAGGTTCACATGGTGAAGGAGCTAGTCACACCCAAGAAACTTAGACTTAGCTTCATAGATGTGGAGAGTGATTCGTAGAAGACTATTTAATTCAGTGTTATTAAACCCGACCCGGTCGGAGTACTGGGTCATTGGTCGAATTGGTTGACCCGAATATATAAATATATATATATATATATAGGATCAGGATCATTTTACACCAGTGTAAGTTACACTCTCAATCTTATCCGTTGATTCCATTTATATCTAACGGTTAAATTTTTTTAGTAATGTGAGCCATTGAATACAACTGGATCAATGGTCAAGATTGAGTGTAAGACTTCTAACTCTTACACCGGTGTAAGAATATCCTGCCCCATATATATATATATATATATATATATATATATATATATATATATATATATATATATATATATATGAACATATAAATTTAATTATATTCTCCATATCTAAAATGAGTTAAACAAGGTTCACTAAATAAGCTCAAAAATTACTCGATCACACTTTTACAAGTTCATGAAGCACAAATAAATGAAAATGCACGCTATTACTATGTCAATTTAAATTGCAACTTAGAATCCCCATAAGCATATATCTCAATAACATTCAAAAAGCCGGTTGTCAAATGCAATTTCGTCAAATTCAAAAGGGTAAAATAAAATAGTCATCTATGGATTTGATATACTTATTCTGTTCTAACTTTGTTCCATTTTCTTGCACTCTTCTCCTTGGAGAGTTTCTTTAATACTACTTTGTACCAAAAATCTTTTCTACAAAAGATAAAGTTTTGAATTGAACGGATATATGAAAAGAGGCTTGGATTCAAATTGAACAAAATTTTTCCAATTTGAAAAAATGTCATACCGAGTTTGGTATAGCAGTAGGTACTATTGTTCTACCAATCATCCTTTGTAAAAAAAGGTCAGGTTTTGGATTTGAAGGAAAATATGGGAAAAACTTGGACTCAAATGGAATCAAATTTTTTCAATTTGGAAAAATGTTATACCGAGTTTGGTACAACAGTAGTACGAAAGAAATTTTTCTTGGAGAATTTCTTTGGTACTACTTTTATACCAAATATTTTTTATAAAAAAGGTAAAGTTTTGGATTCAAAGGAAAATATGGAAAAAGGCTTGGATTCAAATGGAACCAAAACTTTTCAATTTGGAAAAATGTTGTACCCTAGGGGGTGTTAACGGGTCGAGCCGAGTCGAACTTTGGTCTTAAAAAGCTAAGCTTGTGTTTAAATGTGTCAATCTGACTAAGCCTGTTACCTATATAAATATAATTATCGGCCAGTGGCATGGCTTATTTACAAAAAATAAAAGTCTGATTTAGCCTGTTTAAGAAAATAAGACAAGAAAAATTTATCCAAACAGAATATATAATCAACAACACTAGTAATTCCATAAATATTCATAAATTCAATGTATATCCAAATAGCATAATATAGAATAAAATAATTTAAAAACTCTGTTTAACTAATAAAATGGGGTGAAATGGATTGAGGAGAAAGAGAGGGTTATTACAAGTAGTGTAAAAAATAAAAAATAATATACTAGGCTAGCCTGAAAGGCTCTAAGACCGATCTTTTGAATTGAAGCCTGAGGCCTTTTTATTAAACGAGCTTTTATACAAGTTCAAGCCTGGTGCCAACAATCAATTTTAGACATGTAAGCTCAGGCCTTCACGAGCCGAGCCAAAGGCCCCTGGTTCGTTTAACAACCCCTAGTTGTACCGAGTTTGGTACAACAGTAGTACCAAAAAAAATTTCCTTCAAAAGTTTATTTGGTACTACTGTTATACCAAACATCTTTTCTACAAAAGATAAAGTTTTGGATTTGAAGAAAAATATGGAAAAAAGGCTTGGATTCAAATGAAATCCAAATTTTTGAATTTGGAAAAATGTTATACCGAGTTTGGTAAAATAGTAGTACCAAATCTTTTTTCCTTGGAGAGTCTTTTTGGTACTACTATTGTACCAAACATCTTTTCTAAAAAAGGTAAAGTTTTGGATTTGAAGGAAAATATGAAAAAAAAGTCTTGGATTAAAATGGAACCAAAAATTTTCAATGTGGGAAAATGTTGTACTGAGTTTGGTACAACAGTAGTACCAAATAAATTTTCCTTTGAGAGTTTCTTTGATTTTACTGTTGTACCAAACATCTTTTCTAAAAGAAGGTAAAGTTTTGGATTTGAAGGGAAATATGGAAAAAGACTAGGATTCAAATGGAACCAAATTTTTTTCAATTTGGGTAAATGTTGTACCGAGTTTGGTACAACAATAGTACCAAAGAAATT